ACTTTGCATGTTGAATATCCAACATGCAAAAAGAGAAAAAAAGCATGAGGAAAAACAATGCTTTACAAACCTTAAGACTTAGTAAAAAAAAATTGATATTTTGAGTATGAAAGCATTATAATATTTACCGATAATCTGCCAAAGTTCATTAATGTACGTTTACTAATTTAGAAGTGATAGCATGAAAACTATAACAAGCATAAAATGGTTATGAGGCCATTGCTGAAAGTTAACAATTTTGGAGCTTTTTTTTTTTTTGTAAGAGTAATAGTGAAATTCAACTATTTAATTAGAGTAGCCCAAAAGTTGATGATGGGTGCAATTGACTAGCTGCCTTCCTTTTAGTCCACCAGTTTAAAATTAAGGATGTCTAGCCCAGATAGCCTTTGTACAAGTATCCCAAGTATATAGTCTATCTAACAATGATTTTTTTTCTTTTTTGTTAGCCTCAGCCTGGAACTGTTAAGAGCTCTAAGTCAGCTTCTGGCCAAACCACTCCATATTCCACACCTCAGCCATCTCTCACTCGTAACAAAAGTCTACCATCAGATCCAAGTTCAGAGAAAAATGGACAAGTTTCTGAAACAGGTGAAGACTTTACAAAAGAAATCGCATGAGAATTTGAAATTTTCTAACTTTGGTGTGTTTTTCCAAATCTAATTACTGAACTAGTAAAAGTGTAAACTGCTTGGATTTGTCATTTGTATTGTTGAATAGTTTATAACCTGTTTTCAATGAAAATTTTATTATAAAAACAGAAATGTAGCTACAATTCCCCAGGTGATGCAAGATGGGGTGTGAAGTAAGCAAGGCTGTAAGCAGTTACAGTACATGTATACATCACATTAATAACTTTAAGTTGATTTCAGTATATAAATTTTTATTTTATTTTCTAAGAGAGCATAAAATGTATTAATTTAATTTGGAAGTAATGGCTGCTTCAACCAATGTACGAGCATGATTTTTTTTATAGTGAACTTAACTAAAATCTTTTAAACTCTTGAAAAGAAATTTGATATTTTTGTAAGATCGTTTTAAAAACATGTCCTTTCTACCCAATATTCTTTTTATGTAGATAATAATCTTTGTATTATACATGTTGGAATGGAGAAAATGAACTATGGTATTAGTTTACTGGTGATTCCATCTCATATTTAGGCCATAGTTTTTAGTGACTTTTATCGTCTTTATTATGTACAAAATGGCTTGAGCATATTTTATTCATGATGTATGTTATACTTTGTGTAACACTTCAGCTATAATGCATTTTTTTCATTATTTGGATTTTGAAATAAACAGATTATTAACTGCATCTAAGTATGGTTTCATTAATAACTGTTTTGTTCTTACCTCTCTCACAAATCTCAAAAATATTAATTTTGTGCTCTAGTTTGAACCAGCAACTTTAAACCTTAGATATTTTATTTTAATACGGTTTTTTTTTGTTATTGTTCCAACAAAACAAGTGATCATTTCTTAAAACTGTGACGGCTATGTTTAAGAGTAACTGAAAATCCGTACTATTTTCACCCACCAGTTTGTGTTGTTCATTAACAAAACTGCCACTGTGGCTAGATAGTTAATATTAAGCTATGTTCTTGATGACTTTTGTACTTAACAATTACTAACCCAGTATGTGGTTTCTTATAGTAGATAGTATTCCTGTGTTGCTACACCTACATTTGTATAACTTAACATTTTAGTAATTATTTGTACTCAGTAATGAATATGATATTTATATACACACACACACACATTCCATTAAAATAATCTTAAACCATTTCCGATTCACAGAACTATGCCTGAACTTATTTGATTGATATAGTGTATTGGCTAATTTTTATTTTTTCCCTTTTTAACTTCAACGTTTTTCCCCAAAATTAGTTTATCTAGCTAAAGAAACAAATATGTTTGGTAAAATATGTTGAAAGATCAATATGGGAAGCCTATGTTAATAATATAATGATTTTGAAATTGTTCCAGAGCATTTATAAAATAATATTGTTGCTTTTTCTCACAATCGAAATAGAAGAAAACTAAAAATATTGAAGTAGCAAATGTTTCAGATGAACTGGATTGTTCTTAGATTTATTTTATAACTGAAATAAATATGTTGGATTCAATGAAAACTTCCAAAATATTTGTAACTTTGAATTAACTTTTTTTATTTAGTTTTTAGTCAGTAATTACTATGTCTTTAGAAATTTCATTCATGAAAAGTTTACTGTATGGAAAGGTGTTTCATAACCA